AGATTCCCCCTCCGCGCCCCCCCCCCTGGAAGTTTGGTTCACCGTGGTATCTAAAGTCTTAATGTAAAGTTTCTATTTCTTTTTCCGATGGGTGAACCATTGAAACGCCTTTCCTTTCGGGGATCCCGGCGAGATTTGCCATTTTCCTGGCCGGCCCTGGCTGCTCTCAGTCCCGGGCGACACTCGCCCAGGGGGTGCAAACACGGTTTCTTTCCCTCCCGACTTGGGACAAGGGCTTCCTCTAGGAGGGCTCTGCCACCAACTGCTCTTGCAAACTGTGTCATTGGGTCCTCTGGTCTTCGAGCAGTTTTGAAAGGATGCTATTAACGTGGCTGTAATGTAGTTACAAAAAGGAGGAAAAAAATCTGCGTTCCCTATGGAAGCCATTATCCTTGAGAATATTTAGAAAAAAGAAAAACCTTTCTTGGTATTATATATCGACCGTGGTGCAAACCGATCGTAATTTTTGGAAAAGATGTATTTTACTTATTTCTCTGGATGGATTCGCTCATTTTATTACTTTATCCCAAAGGATCTAATGGAATTTTTGAACCTGATATGCAACTCTCTTGAATTTGTTTCGGAGTTGTACACATCTTGGTTGGGGTGGAGTGTTGGTTTGGGAATGAAAAGATCCAGGGAGTCTGGGAAGGAAGGCGACGATTGTGTACGGCTTTACTAGAGGGGTATGGGAAATTGTTTTGGAATCTTTCTTTAAATCCTGATTTCTTGTCCTCTTTTTATGTAGTCTCCCTCCCCCCCCCCCTTTAGTTTCTAATTACCATTGAGAGAGAACTAATTTGATTGGGATCTGGATTAGTTCAGTGCCTGCTTCACCTGGTCAGCTCTCTACAGATAAAAGTCTCCCCCCACCTCTTTTTTTTTTTTTTTTTTTTTTTTTTTTTTTTTTTTTTGCTATCGCTGCCATCAAGGGGAGGCTTGCTGATTGTAGTCCTGTGGGGAGAAACAGTGGTGTGGCCCATCCACCAGGAACTGAAACCAGCATCACCTCCTTTTGCCTAGGCCTCGGACAGTTGTAACGTGATTAACGTTGGTCATGACATGGAACCACTTGCCCGAGAGCAGAGGGGTCTCAGACTGATGAAGAGGAACCAGATTTGTCAGCCTTTAACTTACACATATCTTAAATCTTCTTTCTCTGAAAGAAAGCTTGAGTTTGAGGATGAGTTCTCATCTCTGCTCATATCATTATTCTTTAGTGTTGCAATCTGGTTCCTAAGGAGGAAGAGGAAGGCAGCCCTGGAGTGGTTTCTTTACAGTAATTTCAACAGAAGAGTGAGAGATGGAACCCGAAGAAGAAAGGATTCGTTACAGCCAGAGATTGGTTAGTATTTTATCCTCTTTTTTTTTTTTTTTCCAATTTTGAAGCACAATAACTATTTTGTTTCTATTTGTGAACCTACTATCATTAAAACTTTTCAGGTGGCTTTCCTGTGTACCAGAGGAAAGAAGGTATATTCATTTGGTTTTTAGGCCAAGCAGTTAGAGCCTTAATACTACTCATCCTGTTTGGAAATGGACTTGTATATGTAGTCTTAATTTCTATACAAACTATTGTAAATCAAAGGATTTTGTGGATTACAGCGTGACAAGGATTACTAATTTTGCAATACTGATACGTAATCTGATTAAGTTAGATTCGAATGTAAATCTTAGGGGTGAAACTGAGGAAGGATAGTTCTATATCATTTTGTAGATTATGGTGTGTCAGGATTTGTGGCTTTGAGCTGGGGAGTAGAACTATGGATTTTTATTTTTATTTTTTAACGCACAAGTAATACTGATAGGTTTAGAGGGTTGGTGGGGACTGAGTGAAAATGTGGAATACCAAAAGTTCTGTGTTTTGTATTTTTGGGAGGGAAATATGAGATGCATCTTGTTGAAAGAAATTTTTACTTAGTAATGATTTGGAGGGAATTTCCTTGTGTGTGCATATGAATGCTTGCTGCTTTAAGACCTACTTTCAGGGTTTCCCTATTGGAGTTTAAGAATTTGATTTTGGTATTTCCTAGTGAAAGAGAACTTTATTAATATTCTCACCATATATTTCAGAAATTTGAATTTGTGTCTGTAGAGTAAGGTTTGGGGAAAAGCAAAGAATTGTCTGTACTGTGTGAATTTTGGTAAACTGAAAGACCTAGAAGATTACTGAAGGAATTTGTGGTGGTCTTCTTTAGGTCTGCATTTTAGACTGAATTTGGGGGGGGTGGGGAAGAGTGATTCTATAATCTATTTTCTGATGATCTCCACTCTTTTTGAGAAAAGGCTACTTTTTCTTTTTTTAAACGTGACTCTTACAAAGGTGTGGAGTGCATTGGCAAGTATATCTAGCAGGCGTATGTTCTGGCAAGTCTTACTTCAGAGATTTGCCTCTTGTCTCCCAATTCGTGTATTGAGAATACATTTCTTTAGCTTTTAGAAATAAACTACGTGTATCAGTAGTGAAATTTTGTGTGCTAAGGATTGGTTTTTGTTTTGACATTTCTTAAGCTTTGGGAACGTAGAAGAAAGGATGCTGCAAAATTCTCTTCCCAGGTGATTATTCCCAGCTCTATATGGGGAATTCATTTGTATCATGTCAGGCCTGTAAGAATTGTTGAGCTGTTACATAAATACCTGAGGGATCTTGGATCTTGGGATCCAGTCTTTCAAAGGAAGAGCCTTTTCTTCAGCTAGCAAAAGTTCTTCACATTTTTTAACATTTTTAAGATAGGGAGGTAGCAGTGAGGAGATCCAAGGAATCTTGACTTTTGTCCTGGCAAGTTTTTTGTTTTTTTTTTTTTTTTAAATCATAAAGTGCTACCTGTTGCACACATTAACCCTTTCCTTATCTAGCATATTTTTTCTTTTGGTTCATGTGCTGTTGTAGCAGTGTTGTATAAGAGGGTACATCAGGTATTTTGGGGGCTCTTATTTAGAATTTTGGGTGATAATTCTGAAGTTTAGAGTGACTGATGTCTGTTTTCCTTTTTTTTTTTTTTTTAAGTTTTTTTAAATGTTCATGTATTTTAGAGAGAGCTCGCACACACACGGGAGGGGCAGAGAGAGAGGGAGACGCAGAATCCGAAGCAGGCTCCAGGCTCCAGGCTCCTCACTGTCCGCACAGAGCTCTGCGGCGCAAGGCTCAGACTCACTAACTGTGAGATCATGACCTGAGCTGAAGTCGGATGCTTAACCAGCTGAGCCACCCAGGCGTCCCATGTATTTTCCTTTCTAAGATTACATGACCAAATTATATCTGAAGTGTAAATCCCTTCTATACCATAATTTTTGATGTGAGAGCATGTTGGCAGCTTATTTGAGTGACAAGTTTGCCTACCAAACTTCATGTCTCTCCCTCTCTCTCTCTCTCTCTCTCTCTTTCTGGTGAGTGCTCCTGTTGATCCAACATTGATTAAGTTAGATCTTACTTGAGGAATTTTAAGACTATAAAGGCTGATTTTTATAGTAGTTAACTATTTTTTAACACCTTGTCCTTAGGCTAAAGTGTAGAACTTATTTTTGTTTTGCAGTTGTTGGTCATAGAGGATAAAGTTTGAAAGAGACAAATGACAGGTTTACTTATTTGGCTTAGTGATTCAAATTTGCATGGTCTCGTATAATATATATTTGTCAGATTGAATGGAATTATCTAGTACGTTGATTATAGTGTTTTTAAATGTTACTTCCATGTTGTTTTAGGGGACAAAACCTAAATAGGCATCCCTCTGTGATATACCTTCAAAGTAGCCTCTTGAGAGAGAGAACAGAATACCAGTATTAAAAGCCTGAGTCTAGACTCATTTTGGAATGACTTTTTTGTATTTTGGACCTTTTACCTATCTTTAAGAAAAAAAAGTTGTATTTTTATTAGTAAGAATACTGTTAATAGTAATGATCTAACAATAGATCATATCAGTGCTTTTTGCTGATGATATAGCTATTTCTCAAGTGCATAGGCTGAATTTGGCAAGTTTTGATTATGTTTGTATCCTCTTTGTCATTTTTTTTTTTTTTCAACGTTTATTTATTTTTGGGACAGAGAGAGAGAGAGAGAGCATGAACGGGGGAGGGGCAGAGAGAGAGGGAGACACAGAATCGGAAACAGGCTCCAGGCTCTGAGCCATCAGCCCAGAGCCTGACGCGGGGCTCGAACTCACGGACCGCGAGATCGTGACCTGGCTGAAGTCGGACGCTCAACCGACTGCGCCACCCAGGCGCCCCCTCTTTGTCATTTTTTAAAGTCAGAAACAGCTCGTTTAAAAAAAATGGCATGCCTTTTGCCAATCTGTTTACTATTACATGTGGAAGAGAAATTGTACCTTTGAAGATGGTGTGTATGTAGTACATTTGGGATATTTGCTCTACTTTACTTTCTGGAGCGAGAATGCTTGTTTTGCAGAGTAGGAAATGACAAGGGTGGGCGAACAATGTTTGATTATTCCTAAGCAAGACATTGTTTTGTTTTGTTTTTTAATGAGAAGATCAGTAGTTTTGTGTATAGATTCCTAGAACAAAGCCAGATAGATCTCTAAGGCAAATTGATCCACTTGAAAGGGTAGTCCAGTGAGAGGGATAGAAGCTTCAGTGTTGGCGATGGGTGGGTATTTGGTTGTCCTGAGGTAAAGAGGATTTATTTCTGTGTTTCTGGTAAATTTAGATGGAGAACCTTATTGAGAAATATTGACAAGTACTGAAGATGGAACTTTTTTTTTCCCATTTGATTTCACGAGCCAAAGTGTTGGAGCAGTTTTGGATGTTTGTTACTGTCCATGTGTATTTAAGTATTTATTTGTAGAGAATGTTCAGTATAATATCTTACAGTTTCTTAATCTAAAATGTTAAGTTAAATCCTTAGCAATTATAATGATCTTTCAGGTTTCTAAAATCATACCAATCCAGAGCAATCCTTATTATTGCATAGAAAATCAAGGGCAAAATAATGTGCATTTAAATGCTTAAGATTTCTATGCTATGTAGTATCACTTTAACATGGGACTTTTTCCACTTTTATTGGAAGAGATGGCCCTTGTTAAATATTTTAATACACTGGATTATGATATGTGCCTTCAACGTGTATAATATTTTGTACACATTGTTACATTTAGTATGGAAAAAATTCATTAGCTTCTGCCAAAGGCAATTGTAGAAACAAACGGACACCTAAATCATTGTAAAAGAAAGTGAAGACAGTATACTTCCTGGTAAAAGAAATTATGTAACCTGAATATTTTTCCTCCTGAATTCGCCTAAGTCTAGTGGTGTTATCTGAAGAAGGAGTTGTCGATTTACTTGAGAATTCAGTTTGCTTGTCAATCTTGATGATGACATTAAGAGATATTCTAAAGGATGTTCTTATACTATTGGATGTTCAGTACTGTTAATGTTCCCAACATACGGTTTTCTTCGAAACAGCTAAATCATTTATCTTTTGTAAGAAACTCGGGGCACTGGAGCCCTAGTGATATTCTCACCATTCTTTGGGTTACCCTTAAAAATTGTCTTCCCAGATTCAGCCGCAGTTACCAGATCATCCCTTTTGCAAACAGTCCTACTCTGAATGAGTGGTCTTTCTGACCACACTAAGGTCTATTCTGACCAAGAATGGACTAGGCAAAATAAAATCCTAGTTTTAAGCCATTTTTTTTTCCTAGCATGAAAGTATCATACTGTTAACAACTGGAAAAAAATTAAGACGATCTAAATTGTTGAATTTGCTTACTTATAATTATTTCATTAGACTTAACCTTCAACTGTGTTGGTGGAGGAGTACATTGTTCCGAGTGTTGCAGCCTCCTTACTGATGATGTAGGAAAAACTTGTTGCCCATTTTTTGGGTGATTCAAAATGCAAATAATGAGGGAGCTAATTCTTTATTCTTATGCATCAGTCTTCCACAGTAAGCTATATTTTAGGGACACATAATGAGGACTGTATTTAAGCCCTATCACTTTCTCTTGTTTTATTTTGCTGAGCACTAATCAGTACCATACTTGTTTGTTTGTGCATCTCTCTCCTTTGGAGTATATGCTCCTTGAGAGTTGAGACTTTCTTTTTGTTTATGGTATATACTGGATGCTTCAAATAGTGCCTTACACATAGAAAGTGCTCAATAAGTAGCCTCAAAAAAAAGAGAAAGTACTCCATCTACAACACAGAAAGGGCTCAATAAGTATTTGTTGATGTTGTTGAAAGCCCTGATAAATACTTTTCTTTGCTACCAATTTCTTGAGTGCTAGGAATAAGCCACTGGAATGGAGGAGAATTTGGTGACTGGGGATGAGCCAAATACCTGGGTATGTCTTGCAGTGTACATAGAACCAGAAGCTACTTTTGAGAGAGAGA